TGTGAGGAGAGAGAGAGAGAGAGAGAGAGAGAGAGAGAGAGAGAGAGAGAGAGATTAAGCTTTGCCTGCCAAAGACCTCTCTTTTCTAATTATTCCCCAATTCACCAGGAGGTACATATCTCTTCTTTTCAGCCCTTTTTTTTTGGGGGGGGAGCTCTTCCTGCTCATTTCTTGGCCCCTGGCTCATCTTCCTGAGCCTGGCAAGTCAATATGTCTTCCCAGGGAAGCTTTGATTGCTGTAGGGTTGTGCACCGCACATCTCGACAGTGAAGATTTATTATGACCCTTTTCCAACGTAGAAAAACCAACTGTCTCGGGGGAGGAGTGCCCTCCCCATCAGCAATTGCAAAGGGGAGCCGTGGGCCAGCGCACACCGCCACGTGGATGAGTGTTGCATCCTACAGCCCTGCCCACTCCTTTGTGTCTCTTGCCAGAAGCTAAAGCACAGGTCTCTCAGGTCTCTCCTGGCACTTCCACCCCCTCAGCCATCACATGGGTGGCCTTTCCTGGCACTCGCTCTGGAGACCAGGCTGGCCTTGAACTCACAGAGATCCGCCTGCCTCTGCCTCCCGAGTGCTGGGATTAAAGGCGTGCGCCACCAACGCCCGGCTAAAATAAATTTTTTTTTAAATGTGTATGTATTCATGGGAGCGTGTCTGGTTGCCTGTAGAGGCCAGAGGAGGGCTATATGAGCGGTTGTGAGCCACCTGGCATGTGTGCTGTGAACTGAACTCTGGCCCTCTGGAAGGGCGGCAGGGTATTATAACCACTGAGCCATCCTGTCAGCCCTGTTCCTGATAATTGACTCAGTATGTCAGGCTTGGCTGCAAGTGCCCTTTCATGCTGAGCCGTGTAGCTGGCCCACAGGGGTTAATCTGTGTGTATTCTGGTTTCTGTGGGAGGGAGTGTGGGTTGAGATGGAGAAACTAGAAAAGGAACTCTAAGAGGAGGAGTGCGGCCCTGAGGAAGGGAGGCGGGGAGTGACACAGAACACCTGTGGTTAAGAGCACAGGCGGCTCTGATAAAGGTCCTGAGTTCAATTCCCACAGGACCGTGGCATGAAGATTTACCATCATCTGTCACTCCAGTGCCAAGGGAGCGATGCCCTCTTCCAGCGTCTGAGGGCACTACGTGGCTTGTGGTGCGCAGACACACAAGCAGGCTACACATTCACATAAAATAATGAAATAAGCGGGTGTTGGTGGCACACGCCTTTAATCCCAGCACTCGGGAGGCAGAGGCAGGCGGATCTCTGTGAGTTCGAGGCCAGCCTGGTCTCCAGAGCGAGTGCCAGGACAGGCTCCAAAGCCACAGAGAAACCCTGTCTGGAAAAACCAAGAAAGAGAGAGGTGGGGATAAAGAGTCTACACACGAGGCTGACTGACTGATTCATACTTCCTGACTGTGGAGAGCTAGAATGTTGCAGATGCTGGCAAATCATTCTAGGCTAGCCTCAGTGCCCTCAATAGCCATTCACAGCAGGTGCAGTGTCACACGCCCGCCCGTAGTCCCAGCACTGGAAGGACAGAGGCAGGAAGCTCCAACATCTAGTGTCATCCTTGGCCACATATTTATTTGGAGACAGCCTGAGCTAGATGAAATCCCACGTGAACTAAGCCAAAAATTCCAGAGACAGAAAAGAAGGGGAGAGAGGGCAGGCTGGGGGCAGGGGGAGGGAGAATATTGGGCATTTATCCAAAGTCAGCTGGACACTTTTGTGGTTTCAATTCTCTTGGAGGCTGGAGCAGGTGGGTGTGGGTGTTTGAGATCAACCTGGCTCACATAACGAGTACCAGGACTTAGAAATACAACATCTCAAAATAACAGCAGCAACAACAGCATGTGTGTGTCCGCGCGCACACACACACACACACACACACACACACACACACACACACAAATTCGAGGAATAATTACTCGGGTAGGGTTGGGAATGTAGCCCAGTTAGCAGAGTGCTTGCCTGGCACGCACGAATCCCAGGGTCAGATCCCTGGCACTGAACACAGCTGAATCCCAGCCCTTCCTCTTGGGAGGCAGGAGGCTCAGAAGTGCACTCACTCACTGTGACTGAGTGCTACCTTGTCATGCATCAAGAGTCAAGTGCTCAGTAGAGCACACGGTACACCTAAGCGTCACACAATTGTAACAGTCATCACCACCATCGTCTTCATTACAGCCTGAGGCACTGTCACCATCAACATGGGCATCATCACCAACATCACCACCATGACAGTCACTGTCACTCCAGCCATCCTCGTTATCGTTATGACAGTCATCATTGCCATCACCATCATTGGCTTCCTGTCATTACCATCACCGCCATCACCGCCATCACCAGGGCCGTCATGACAACCGTGACGGCCATCACCGCCATCACCATCGCCGTCATGACAACCATGACGGCCATCACCACCATCACCATCGCCGTCATGACAACCATGACGGCCATCACCGCCATCACCATCGCCGTCATGACAACCGTGACGGCCATCACCGCCATCACCATCGCCGTCATGACAACCGTGACGGCCATCACCGCCATCACCATCGCCGTCATGACAACCGTGACGGCCATCACCGCCATCACCATCGCCGTCATGACAACCGTGACGGCCATCACCGCCATCACCATCGCCGTCATGACAACCATGACAGCCAATCGCTGCCATCACCATCGCCGTCATGACAACCATCACCGCCATCACCGCCATCACCACCGCTGTCATGACAAGCATCAACATCACCTTACTCTTACCATCATCACTTTTCTATCGCCACATCACCGCCACCTTGATTGTCATCACCATCATCACCATCGCCGTCATGACAACCTTGCTGTCCACTATCCTCACCATTAAATCGTCATCGCCTTCCTAACACCACCATCACCACCGTCCTTGGCGTCAGTGTCTTCACCCTGGCTCTGCCTGCTGTTTAGTTACTGAGATGCCCTTTCCTCACCGCCTCCAGGTCTTTGATCAAGCCCACTCTCTCGGTGAGTCCCCCACTCTCTCTCTCTCAGTGAGTCCCCCACTCTCTCGGTGAGTCCTCCACTCTCGGTGAGTCCTCCACTCTCTCGGTGAGTCCTCCTTCTTTAAGACAGTTGCACTCCCTCCTACCCCATTTCTCCCTCTACAGCATTTGCCACCTTCTACCATAGTCTAATTTTTAAAGTCCAGGCAAAAATTTACATAACTAGCCGGGCGTTGGTGGTGCACGCCTTTAGTCCCAGCACTCGGGAGGCAGAGGCAGGGGGATCTCTGTGAGTTCGAGGCCAGCCTGGTCTCCAGAGCGAGTGCCAGGACAGCCTCCAAAGCCACAGAGAAACCCTGTCTCGAAAAAAAAAAAAAAAAAAAGCATCTAAAACCGAGTTCTTCTATACAATAAAGAAGTATTTTGTTGTTTCAGACAAGGCCTCACCATGTAGCTCTTGCTGTCCTGGAACTCACTCTGTAGATCAGGCTGGCCTTAGACAAAAAGCTCCTTCTGCCTCCCGAGTGCTGGTATTAAAGGCAAGCAACATCACACCCAACCCAAGAACTATTTCTTTTACTTTCTTTCTTTTTTCCATTTTTTTGAGACAGGATTTCTCTGTGGCTTTGGAGCCTATCCTGGAACTCGCTCTTGTAGACCAGGCTGGTCTTGAATTCACAGAGGTCCACCTGCCTCTGCCTCCTGAGTGCTGGGATTAAAGGCGTGTGCCACCAACGCCCGGCTAAATGGAAGTTTTTTTTTTTCAAGAACTATTTCTTGATTGGACTGTGCCATGCAATGGAAAAGGGATTGTATGCCACACAATGGCCAGCGTGGCAGCCGGACAGAGGAGAAACTCCACAGCATGTCCCAAAGCTAACTTGGGGCAAATAAAAAATCATAGGTCAGTGTTCAGTGACCTTCAGCCACTCTGGTCCTCTAAGACTGTGTCCGCCGTGTTCACCTGACCACTGGACAACTGACTGCCACTTTTTCAAGCATCTCCATATATGATTAAAGATGCCTTTCTAATTAGATGTAAGGGGTGTGTGTGTGTGTGTGTGTGTGTGTGTGTGTGTGTATAGTTGCCCATGGGGACCAGAAGAGGGCTTCAGATCTCCAATGTAGGTGGTGGGAACTGAACTTGAGCCCAACAGAAGAACAGTACTCCCTCTTAAGACTTGAGCCATCTCTCTCATCCCTCCAAGCTTGGATTTTTACACTACAGGAATAATAAGTGACCCTTATTTCTCCTTGGCAAAAATGTGTTGATTGTTATGGTTCCTATTTGAAGTAAAAAGGATGCTTTTTTTTTTAAGCGTATGCAGCATATACCTAATTAAAAATAAATCTTAAGGGGCTGGAGAGATGGCTCAGAGGTTAAGAGCACCAACTGCTCTTCCAGAGGTCCTGAGTTCAATTCCCAGCAACCACATGGTGGCTCACAACCATCCGTTATGAGATCTGGTGATCTCTTCTGGTGTGCAGATAGACATGGAAGCAGAATGTTGTATACATAATAAATAAATAAAATCTTTAAAAAAATAAATCTTAAAATACCATATATAGCAGTATTTCTCCACCTTCCTAACCCTTTAAAGTGGTTCCTCAGGTTGTTGTGACCCCAACCATAAAATTCTTTTCCTTGCTACTTCATAACAGTAATCTTTTTGCTGTTATGAATTGTAATGCAAATATCTGAAAGGTAGGCTGTCTGATATTTCCCCCTGTGAAAAGGTCTTTCAGCTCCCAAAGGGGTCAAGACCTATAGTTTGAGAACCACTGATATATGGGACCTCTTGAAAAAGTGGCAGTCAGCCGGGCGTTGGTGGCGCACGCCTTTAGTCCCAGCACTCGGGAGGCAGAGGCAGGCGGATCTCTGTGAGTTTGAGACCAGCCTGGTCTACAAGAGCTAGTTCCAGGACAGCCTCCAAAGCCACAGAGAAATCTTGTCTCAAAAAACAAACAAACAAACAAAAAAACAAAAAAAAAAAAAAAAAAAAAAAAAAAAAAAAAGAAAAAGTAGCAGTCAGTTGTCCAGAGGTCAGGTGAACACAGCGGATAAGACAGAACCTCACAGCCCAATTCCACTTTTGAAAATCGGATGTTTGATGAAACTACTTATAACAATGTAACATACATAGTTTTAAACTGCAGCTTCTTGGGCTGGAGAGATGGCTCAGTGGTTAAGAGCACCGGTTGCTCTTCCAGAGGTCCTGGGTTCGATTCCTAGCAACCATATGGTGGTTCACAAGCATGTGTAATGAGATCTGGTGCCCTCCTCTGGCCTGGGTACATGCAGACAGAACACTGTGTACATAATAAATAAATAAATCTTTAAAAAAAAAAACAAACCTGCAGCTCCTTTCCTACTATAAGCTAACAGCACACACCCCTTCCCTTCAGCCATCCCACCCCACCCTACCCCTGCCTTTTTTACACAAAATCTCACTATGTAGTCCAGGATAACTTTTAACTTCATATATAGACCAGGCTGGTGTGGAACTAGCGGCAATCCTCCTGCCTTGGCCTCTGAAGTGTTGGGGTTACAGGCATGGGCCACCACACTGGATCAGTATTCACTATCTTGTACAACCAATGACTCTAATTAGCTCTAGGACATTTCATCCTCTCCAAAGGGGACCTCTTACCTGTTAACCACTGCCTCTCTACCGAGCGTGCCCGGCCCCTTTGTGGGGCTTCTGTCTTCATGGGATCGGGCTGGATAGCTGAGACCAACTTTCTCCTGAATCTCCTTTTCGAGGTACATCCACACGGTGGTGCCATGCCCTCTCGTTCCTTCCTTCCTTCCTTCCTTCCTTCCTTCCTTCCTTCCTTCCTTCCTTCCTTCCTTCCCACTTTCTAGAGCATGCTGTGTCACTGATTCATGTGTTTAACCCCGGCTGGCCTGATACATGGTACAGTGAACTGGCTGCAAACTTGGCAATCCTCCTGCCTCGGCCTCAGGAGTGCTAGGATTACAGTCTAGTGCCACAACTCGTAGCGATCCTCCTGCCTCGGCCTCAGGAGTGTTAGGACTGCAGTCGTGTGCCGTAATGCCTGCCTGGCTCATACACTTTTTTACTCGGGCCATTCCATACC